ATGGTCCAAAGTGTATAGCATTTGAGCAGTGTTTAGAACAACTAAATTCTACAGAACATTTGCAGAAACCCAAACAGGGTTCTGATTACTTAAAAGTGGGCAGAATTTAAATCATTTCCCTTATTTCTTAAGCAGAACAGAGGATAAGTTAACTTGATTTTTTTTTATCACTGCATTGTCTCAGATTACTTCACATTTATAATACAGATTTTCAAGACAAGTAAAATAAATATATAAAAACCCCCTCTCTAGTAAACTTTTGACTTCTGTGTACTTGGAAACTTATCTTGGTTAATCCTTTATCTTTTCTCTCTCTTTTAATACTTCTCAACCTAATATCTTAGAGCAGGACTCGAGTCCACTTTCTCAATTCATATTTTCTTTCAGTTCTATTTTTACACAAACTTTATAAGTACCCTCATGTTTATAAGGTTACCGAATGTAATTCTCCTTCATTTGCCATTAATCCAAGAAATTCCCTCACCAACTTAACTATCAACCTCACTATTCAAATCCAATCCAGTCTCTTTCTTTGGCAGTTCAGTAGCACTGGACCGTGTTGAATACACCTGTGGATTTTAGAACAAAGCAGTCTCTGAGTTTCTTATTTGCTCACTTTGACTGTCTACCTTGCAGGGGTCTGCTTCTATCATCTACGCTTTAGATAATATGGTCTTCAAGTTCTCTCCCATGACCTCCCCCTCCACCACCATTTTATCTTCCTGTTAGTGATCTTATCCGATTCTATGTCCTCAATAGGCATCTATATGTTGATTAGGCACAAATATAGATTTCTATTTCCTATTTATTTTCTCTTCTCTATCACTATACTTCTAAATGCCTGCTGGATATGACCATGTAAATATTCTAGATGTTCATGAAGAGTATTACCTACATCGTCTAAATGGACAGTGCTATTATCTATTCAGTTTTCCAAATCAGAGACCAATTGTCTTTTANGTTCAGCCTGTAATTCATCATCTTGTATTTGCTCCCTCTCTTTCCCTGTCTCACTTCGCTCTTCCTTCACTGTTACTGTCTTAGGATTTCAATTCCAAAAAAAATATTAGACACTTAAACTTTGCCTATGACTTGGGTTTCTAGGCAAAGACCAAATTTCAAATAATCAATAATTAGAAGAGCTGAGTTATCTTCACAGAATATAAAATGCTACGAAATGTTTCATTTCATGAATTAGAAACATACCTCCCAGAGTTGTTAACTGCCTTGCAGAAACTTNGTGAAATCATAAAATACGTAAAATTATACATTGGATGTATAAGTTCACAGGGATAGTACAAATTACCAACATCAAATGAGAAAAATGTAGTATGAAAAGTCAAAATCAAAATGTTAACATCATTTACCTTTAGGCATCCAGTTTGGTATACTTTTAAAATTTTCTTTTTTTTTCTTTGATAGACATATCATATTGATATTGAGGAAAAATAGGATTATGAAATTTATGGCTTTGTATTTTTGGAAAAATACAAGCCAGTTAACATTTTACAGATTATAAAACAGTTATAGATAATTAAGAAGCATTGATTATTTTCTATCTTCAAATATCTAAATGGTCCAAAGTGTATAGCATTTGAGCAGTGTTTAGAACAACTAAATTCTACAGAACATTTCCAGAAACCCAAACAGGGTTCTGATTGCTTAAAAGTGGGCAGAATTTAAATCATTTTCCTTATTTCTTAAGCAGAACAGAGGATAAGTTAACTTGATTTTTTTTTTTTTATCACTGCATTGTCTCAGATTACTTCACATTTATAATACAGATTTTCAAGACAAGTAAAATAAATATATAAAAAACCCCTCTCTAGTAAACTTTTGACTTCTATGTACTTGGAAACTTATCTTGGTTAATCCTTTATCTTTTCTCTCTCTTTTAATACTTCTCTACCTAATATCTTAGAGCAGGACTCGAGTCCACTTTCTCAATTCATATTTTCTTTCAGTTCTATTTTTCCACAAACTTTTTAAAGTACCCTCATGTTTATAAGGTTACCGAATGTAATTCTCCTTTATTTGTCATTAATCCAA